TATATAGATTTATATAACTAACTATGCAAAATCTACATTGGGTTTATAAAGTTTTATAAGTTTAAATAAAAATTCTATATAACTTTATATAAATGTTTTATATAAATTTATGTAAAAATGTACTTTTTGATGTAATTTCGAACACTAGTTTTAGACTATAGTTGTTAGGTGAAATCTCAAGGTTTTGTGCTAACGAAACGTGAATCCTAGATTAGTCTTTTGTCAACTAAAATCTTAAAGAAAAATAGCAAAACTAATGAGGGTGACAAAACTAATAAAAGATAAAGATACAGATGAATGTTGTTGAAATTCATTGAAGATAATGTGAATAAAAAAAAAAATTAATAAAACAGAAATTTATAAAATTACAAAAAATTTTATAATATAATACACTTTTACTAAAAAGCACCTATAGTGTTTTACCACCTATGTTGATTATCTTAAAAACTAACTAATGAATTAATATTTGATATTCTAAGTAAAAATGCTTTATATTTTCAAAATCCCTCCTAAACCTTATTTCTAGCACTAAATACTAACCATAACATGAAGAATTTATACCAAAAATTTTATATAAAAAACTTATAAAAATTGAAAAAATATATAAAAACATATAATAGATGAAAACCACCATAGGTACATTTTATAATAAATAATATAACGAACTATGTATTGATATATAGAAAAGAATCTCTTATAGCTGTTTTCATAAATTCTGGAACAACTAATAAAAGACTGATGAAATAAATTGATAAGTTTCTGAGTTTGGCCAAAGTCGATTATTTATTGATTTTCTGACTCAGTAGCTTATCGATTCGGTCATTGGCAATTTTTTTAGATGTTTCAGAATTTATGAAAATAGACCGATTAAACATAACCAGCTAAGAAATATTCAACCAATCATTTTGCACTGATTCATAATAATACTTTATAATCTTATCGGTTTACAACTATTATAAATCCTAACTAGGGTTAAATTGCTACTAAAAAAATTTTAGGTTTAATTCTCTGTTATACTAAATATCACTCATGACTACCTTTATCATAATTTTTTGCATGTAATAAACTTATTTATAATGATCATATTGTGACCGGGAATCTTCCCATGGAAGATTCCTGGCTTCATATTAATAACCAAGAATTTTATAATTTTCTGCAATTAAATAAAAAATCTTATAAAACTTAAAATTGTCAAATTGAATAAAATTTTAAATTGCATAATTAATTAAATTGTCATAGGCAAAGCAATGATTATGAATTTATTAAATTTCAATTACATTATCAATTACATATGCTATTAAGTATTAATTATTCAATATTTTAAGTTATGCCATTAAACTAATATTAATGCTTATATTATTGCAATTTTCAATCGTGATATTAGGAATCTTTGCTTTCTTATACTTCACATCAGAATTAGCTTCATTATCAGATTCAGCTTTAGATTTATTATCTTTAGCTCTGAACTTATTATCAATAGCTTCGAATTCATTATTGATTTTAGCTTCACTAAATTTATTAGAAAGTAAATTGGATACTTTAGAAAATCTATTATTGGCAGTTGAATCTTTTAAGGGGGCTTCCAGAAATTATGTAATATTTTGTTATTAATGAATTTCAAAATTTCATTTCCACTCACCCACACCTGATACTTTATTAGCCAATCAAATTTCATAAAAATTTTAAATAGTATTAATTAATAAAACGTTTTTAAATTTATATAATTTTTGATCTATTAAACCAATTTGGATGATTTAACTACCAAAATAATCCTCCCAATGAGCGAATTTTAACAAGCCCAAAATCATTAAAATCCAATTACAAAATTACAAGATAGATGATTTTTTGTATTATTTAAATATAGTATATATAAAATAATACAAAATATTATTTATTTTGTAATCTTGTAATTGGATTTAATTGTTTTGGGCTTGTTAAAATTCTCTGATTGAGAGAATTATTTTGGTAGTTAAATCATCTAAATAGGCCTAGTAGATCAAAAGTTATTCAAGTTTAAATATTTTATTATTATATAATTTTATAATTTTGGCCAAAATTATAAAATTATATAATAATAAAATCTTTAAATTTGAATAACGTTTGATTTACTAGGCCTATTTAGATGATTTAACTACCAAAATAATCCTCTCAAAGAGAAGATTCCAACAAGCCCAAAATCATTAAAATCTATTTACAGAATTACAAGATAGATAATTTTCATATTATTTAATTTAAATATATATAAAATAATATTATCTTTACTCACCCTCCCGTCGGTTTTCCAAAATTTTTTACAAAAAGTGGGGATTTGGATTATTCTCTCCAAAAGATCGGCATTGTTTACTTTTTAAATTCGGACGGACTCAGTAGAATGCAACTACGTGACGTGTCTGTTTATAAATACAGTGCTACTCTGGGGAAGTTGGATCGGGACCTCTGGTTAAAGAGATATCCGAAAACGGTCATAAGTCAGAAGAACTTTTTATACTAAAGCAAAGCTTTACAGTAGAGATATACAATCGTTGCATTTGTTATATAATTTTTTAGCCTTGCACAAGTTATAATAGTGCATTCTTATTAGATAGAGAGGTGAAATCCCTTTTTACACTTTATCCTGGTTCTATAAAATTTTTTTTTTTTTTTCCTGTTTTTTCTTTTTTTGGGGTTTTTTTTATTTTTTATTTCGCTCTTTTCCTTTTTCCCTTTTTTACTCATTTTCCCTTTTTAGTCATAGTTCATTTTCGTTTTTTATAGAATTTTTTTTTTTTGGATAATTCCAATCATCTGTGATCTGGTAGGATGTAGTTGCTCATAGGCCTGAGTTAGGTTTCACACCGCGATATGGAACTATGTAATGTCGGACTTCTTTTTTGAAATTTATATATTTATAGTTCTTATAAATATTAATAAATAAAATTAGTCACGGCAAGACCCGTCGACATTTAAAAAAAAAAATAATAATAAAAATACTAAATATTATCTATTTTGCAATTCTGTGATTGGATTTTAATGATTCTTTGCTTATTAAACTTCTCTCATTGAGAGAATTATTTTGGTAGTTAAATCATCTAAATAGACCTAGTATATCAAAAATTATTCAAGTTTAAAGATATTATTATTATATAGTATACTGTAATTTTATAATTTTGGCTGCAATTATAAAATTTTGACCAGAATTATAACCTGATATTTTGGGGACTCACCCACCCACCCCAAAATTACATAATTTCTAGAAGCCTCCTAATGCTATATGAGAATTGGGTTCTAAAAAAAATAAAAAATCATATAAGTAAATTATAAATCACTTCTATATATAATAATACTGTTTTACCTATTTCTTTAACTGGAATTAAAAGAGAAATATTATTTTGTTTTCATTTTAGTGATTGATGTTGATAAGCTGAAACTCCTGCAATAGTATTATGTCAAGAAAAAATCATTTGTTCATCCAATGTAATACCTAATTCTACAAGATTATGAATACCTGTAGATTGCATAGAATGATTAGTAATACAATAATCTTTAAAATCTAATTTAGCATCTTTATAAATGCTATGCATCATAGTGTTGTGTGATCCTTTTTCTAATTTTGATGCTAAATACCAATTACCATGAATTTTGCTAACTATAACCGCTGGTGATATCACCGGATCACGTGATACTAAATATCATATAATTATTAACCGCCAGTGATTATCACTGGATCACGTGATACAGAATATATTATTATTAACTGCCGGTAATATCACCAGATCACGTGATACTCCTTGACGATTAGTATTCTTGATATCTTTGAATAAATAATAAAACTACATTAAAAAAAAAAGTAACTTTTAGTCAACCCATACTATTGTTATTAATAATTCTGAATCGATTTACACAAGTGCCGCAAAGAGAAAACCTGTAATTTTCAAGAATTACAGGTTTTCTTTTTGCGTCATTCATAGCCACAGGCGTTTTTTCAAAAATCGAAACACCCTAAAATTGCATATGTATTTCGCATGATTCAAACACGTGCCCATTTAGATCATGTCTAGTTTACATATAACCAGCTCATAACCTAAAATTAGCTAACAAGTCATAACAGGTCATAGCAGATAGGCTACCACCGGGTATAACTGGATTATCTGGTATTATTGCAAGATCGATTTTATATAATTTTTGAGAATTACACGAACAAAAAAAAAAAAAAAAAAAATTACAGTCGCGCAATAATCTTTTATAGAATGTAATGTTTTTTTTTGCTCATATCTATTATACTGGAATCTAACAGCTAGATCTAAGTAAATAACCTAACTCTGACCACTAATCCAAACAACCTTCTAACCCTAATAGCGAACCTAACCTTAACAGCTACCTTAACCAAATCCTAACCGCTAACCCTAACAACGAACCTGACCATTAACCCTAATAACGAACCTAACCCAAACTATTAATCTAATGCAACGATGGTCCAGTAAAATATAGCCCACTAGAACTAACGAAATGCAACACGACATTAGCGAAATGTGGTAAGACACAGCATTAGCAAAATGCGACCTGATTCAGCAACAGCAAATGCAACCCGATTCAGCAACAGCAAATGCAACACGATTTAACAACAATATGCGATGCGGCACCAGCAAAATAAAGCTATAAGTAAATACAAACCAAGAACACTAGGAAACGATGAAAAGAAGCACTATAAAATGACAAATGAAAGCATCAGAGATCGACGAAAAGAAGCACAGGAAACAACGAACCGAAAGCACTAACAAGAGGCATAGTAAACTATAAAACGAAAACACCAGCAAATGACGAAAAAAGCACCAGCAAAAAGAGGCACCAGAAAACGCTACAAAAAAAAGCTAAAAAAAAAAAAAATTACAGATATACTATACATACTATATCTGATATACCTATATATGTCGATCCTCCGGTAGTCAATTTTCTTATACTGTATAAAAAAAAAAAAAAAAAAAATTACAGATATACCGTACATACTATATCTGATATACATGTATATGTCGATCCTCCGGTTAATTGTAGTCAATTTTCTTATACTGCATAAAAAAAAATAATAATAAAGAATTGCCCCAAACATCAATACAGTTTCTTTGTCATAACCGGTTTAATCAAAAACAATGATTATTTAGAAAATTATTGTGTACAGTTATTAGCAGGTTAGGTTCCTCTTACGGTTATACCGCATGTTACCACTATATAGGCGCATGCACATTATTTTAGAACAAGTTAAATTTGGAAGTTCGATCAACGCGCAGGTCAATTAATTAACGCGCAGGTGGGCATTATATGAGGTAATTATCAAATTTTAGAGTTCTAGTACAGAGCGAAATCCAAGTTCTAACTTTACCCTAACTATAAACCATACGAGTGTCGGCAAGGAAAAAACATTGAACCAGAAATAATAAACTATTATTTCCAGTTCGCTATCTTACATAATAAAATAATATAAAATATCAACTAAAATAAAAAACATTTTTTTCTGCAACTTGCTTAATTGATATAAAAAATATTGCCATCCATTCTTTAAAAGAAAAGCACTATATCACAACGTATATACGCTTATTGTATGTACAGACATACTAATATTGAACTTACAGTATACTCACTAATAATAATTCACTCTTTATCGTTATATTTACACTTTCGGATATTATGTTCATATCCACCACATCCTTTACATGCATACTTGCGCTTGACATTACTTTCATTTGTGAATGATCCATCAGATGCATTATCATCATCATCCGCATTATCATCTTTGTTAAATGAACTGCTAATATTTTCTTTGACATAAATGTTATCGTTATTAAGAGTACGAACAGTATTTCTAAGTGCATATTGTTGTTGTGAAATTTGCATCAGCTGTGTACATGCATTTGATACATTTAATTCAGAATCAGGTAGATTCAATATGCTATTCTCTGAGCTACTTTGGATAAGCTTTTCTTCTGATACTGATTTTGGTAGACGTCCACGTTTTTTCTGAACAATAGAATCGGAGCTATATAGACCTATTTCGCTTTCATCATTTGTATTATTACGTACATACAAATTGGGATCCAGTGGATTGATGGCGCTATTTCCAGAGCTGTGATGTGATGTTTTTTCTGTAGCTGATTTGATACGTTTAGTTGGTGGATGTCCGCTTCATTTTTGAACAAAAGGATCTGAAATATATAAATGTTCTTTATTGTTCGTGCTTTCTATATTACTTTTCTTGTGATTAATAAAACTATTAACCATATCAATAAATTCATCTTCACAGTTTAAATCAAGTACCAAATTAAGGGCCTTTTTAATCTTTCCAAAACCATTTGCATATCTAACTTTCCTATGCATACGTTGTTTTATTTCAGTTGTAAATGCATATAGCGGTCTGAACTTATTAAATAAGTGTAAATCATTCATCATTTCTGCACTATTGTCTTGCTGAAATTGTGTTACTACACCCACAGTTTCTTGCAATTTTTGACGAATATCTTGATCCTGAACATCTTCTAGATACTATCGTTTTGTGATGAGACCAATATTGAACTTTGCATTTCTCGAAACTATCATAACCTGAAAAAAATATGCACATAAAAGTCCATGATTGATTATAGACAAACATCTACATAAATAACCTTCATCATTTAATAAAATAACGTAATGCTTGTGTGAATTCGTAATTCCAAAGAGCTCCCAAATTTCCACAACATCAGATAATCGTATGTCTTCTAAAAGAGAATGCAATAACACTTGGGTTTATCAAGGAGATCCTCTAGAAAACCGGCATCATAATCCAATTGATTAAGGTCTTCTTGTATTAGACCAGCTGATTCTTTAGATATTAATTTTGCACGATATAATAGAGATCCATCTATTTGTTGTTTTTGAATGGATAAAATATGCGCAGGTAGGTATTTCTTCATCATCTCAAATACCTATATATAATAATAACCATATAATAAAGAATATAAAATCAATTTGTAAATATATATAAATATAATAAAAAAAGAAAATAAATGGAAAAGATATGACCTTATGAAATACAGGCTCAATGATTGAGGGTGCTTGAGTAGTCAGAAGACTCTGAAGATATGCGTTGTGATGTGTCTATTAAGCCTTATTATCTAATAGTCGTTGCATTTGATCATGCAAAGCACATAATAAAGAAGTGCTACTCGTGCCTTCTTTAATTAACCTATTCATTACTTCAACCCTCTGCATGCTTTGGATTCCAGCAGTAAAAATTCTAACCTGAAAACACTTTGCCCATTTTTGACAACAATGTTGTAAAGTATGATTAAGGTAATCTTTGGATTGAGGATATTGTTCAAGTAAATATGTCCAACGGCGATGGAATTCATCTTCATATAAACTGTTCCGAGCATGCAAGAATTTTTTATAAAAAGGATCAAAATTTTGACTGAGTTTTCTTCGCAAATTTTTTCTGAGATTTTCTTGGATATGAAACATGCAGAGAAAATGATGTGTAGTTGGAATTTTTGATGATATTGCATTAATTAATGCTGGGTCCGCATCTGAAAAAAGATAAATAGGTGCAATATTATTAGTTGTTTGAATAATGCAATCAATATACCATTCATAGCTTTCAGTCGTCTCATCTTCCAACAAACATTGTGCAACGAGCCTGCTTTTGGTGTTATTATCTGCAACAACTAGAAGTGCCAAATACATGTCGAACCAGTTAGTTCGACATGTATTATCTGTTTGCACCACATCATTATAACGCATAAGACATTGACGCTGAGTAGGTGACATCCAAAATAAACCAACAAGTCGGTTATCAAATGGGTCAAGCTTTGTGTTAATAATCCAGCCAGGTTCTTGATCTTTCAGAACAAGTAATCAATTAATTATGTGTTGGGCATCTCCCTTACGCTTGGTAAAAGGTGCTCTGAATTTTTGAACGGCATTATAAAGGTCTTTCTTGTAAATAGATTGTTTCGGAAAACTTGCAACCAATAAAGGATATATATGTTTAGAATACATATTTCCTTTTGTGACATAAAACTCAATCTTGTCCATAACTTCACTTGAAAAATTGTGATATTTAGGATTATATAAGGCCGTATTAGGTAACAAAGAGTGATTATGCTCATTAACCATACTTGTAACAATTATTTCCTCTGATGATTTTGCCATATTAAGATTTATATGCCATGGGCATTTTATTTTTTTAGACAGTCTATTATGTTGATTATTTAAATCAATTACTTTGTTAGACATTGGTTCACTGGAAAAACTACATTCAAAGGTTCGGCGGCATATGATTCCAGCATTGTTAACCTCAAAATGCTTACGACGTAAAGAAAATCCTACTAATTTTGCATATTTGTCTAAATTTGATTCAGATAACTCCCATGAAGGAAATGAATCACCAATGTTAATAGAAATTTCCTCTGTAGAGCTAATGTCAACATTTTGAATAGTATTTTCCTCAATATTTAC